TTGTCCATATTTTTCCTACCCTAACCAAAGAGCCTACATTACAACCAAATAAAAAGTTCTTTTTGATCACGAAATGCATGCACTAAAAGTGGTGGAGATAGTAGACGATTTGCAAGCTTATGGTAATTCTTTGATATTGAATTGATTTGAGCGATTATTTCCATATACACTTTCGAGAGTGAGAGTATACATTTATCCGGTGAGGTTTGTGGATTGAAAGTATTGACCATGATCTTGATGAAGCATTCTTTTTGTTTAAAGATTTCGGAATTTAGTATGTTATTTGACTGATGACTATTGATGATGTGTATGATCGATTTTGAGAGTTGTGATTGTTTTTCTTTGTGTGTTGAGAGAATGAGATGCATTGATCGGTACTATCAATGGTTTAAGTTTGGGGGTTTGTTCATGTGTGATTTTACACCATATTCATATAGTATCTAGAGCTAATTCATTGCATTATTGGTGTATAAATTGCATTATTGTGCTTTAATTTTATATCTTGTTGGAAAGGTATTACACGTGCTTGTTTTGTAGATATTTTCACATATTTGTAGATCTTTGGCTATTGGAGGAGCATGGTGAGTGCCTATGACTCCCGGGATGATGATAGATCGATGCACGGATGAGGAAAATAGAAGAAACGAGCAAAACGGACCAAAACGTGCATGCTGGGGTGTGACACGACCTGTGACACGACCAACCAGCCCGTGTCAGAGCCCATGTCACCTCAACAGAAAGAATTCGAGGCCCAGATACCTGACACGACTTGTGACACTACCTGTGACACGGGCGTGTCGGGTCATGTCGCGCGCGCGGACAATTTTTAATCCCTTGCCTTTATGGATAAGGAGAGGAGTTTTAGACATTAAAAAGAGCATATTAACCTATTTTGAGGGAGGAAGGTAAAGAACACAAGGAGAAGGGTTTGGAACACACAAGAGAAGCAATTGAGAAGAAGAGAAGATCAACCACAAGATTTCTAGTTTTTCTTTCTCTCTTTTAAACTTATCTTCTCATGATGATTTCTAATATGTCTATGTATTTGAATTCAAACATGAGTAGCTAAATTTCTTTGATTCTAAGACATGGTATTAGATTAATAGTTTGTGATTTTTCGGATGATTTATCATAATTGATCGTTTTCTTTTGAACCCTATTCAAATATTTTGTGCTTATTTCATGAATTGCAATTGGCCACTGCTTTTACATGTTTTATGATATTGTTCATAATTCGAGAGATGAGTTCAATATTAGATCTTGAATATTTGAC